GAAATTCAGATGGGATGAACTCAAAGTCATATTTGGCTCCTGTGGATTTGGTTTAATTTTCCTCAGCTTCAGCTTGAACTTGCATATGAGCAGTTGGTGGTCTGTTCCACAATCAGCACCTGGCTAGTTATCACAGCTGATACTGAGCTTCTCCAGCAGTTTTTTTCCACAGATGTAATCGATCTGATTCCTATGCATACCATCAGGTGAGATCCATGTGTATAACCTGCATTTATGTTTCTTATAAAACTTATTTGCAATGAATAAGTCATTGATTGTGCAAAATTCAATCATTCTATCTCCAGCTTCATTTGTCACCAAGTCCATGTTTTCCAACTACTGATTCTTCTTCTCTGTTCCCAACTTCCTTGCTTCCAAGGAGAAGCTTGGTTTTTACCTTCTTCAAAACAGACTTGTTTTCTTGGTGGTCCATGGTATGTTTAATACTCTTCTCCAGCAGCATGTCTCAAAGGCATCAATTATTCTGTCATCCTTAGTCATCATACATCTCTCTGATGCATAGCAATGATTGTAAAGATCATGGCCTGGATCAGGTGCACCTTAGCTCCTAGACTGACATCATTGCTCTTTAACAGTTTGGAGAGGTCCCTGACAACAGACTTGCCCAATGCAATGTGTCTTTTGATCTCCTGACTGCTGGTGCTAAGAGTGTTGATTGTGGAGGTGAGCAACATGAAATTATTAAGATCACAGTCAAAATAAATGCATATAACATAGTCCACAATGACAATGTTCTACACTTCACATTTGTTGTTTTTAGGTGCCATCAAATCTAGCATAGTGACCCTATAAACAACAGATCTGAACCCTGTCCTTCCCTGTGCCAACTCACAACCTCTGACACACTCAAGCTGACTGCAACAGTCAGCAAGTCCTTCTCCAAGGAATGGATAGCCTCATTCCTTCTCCTAGCGACCTGCTCAAAGTATGTGAGACAAAGCTTTGCCAAACATGCCTCTGATAAGCACTCTAGCTACACCTTCCCTATGATATAGCTGTTTGTTCTTTTGGCAGTGCATGAGGGCTTCAGTAATCTTCTTTAACACCCCAACTCAAAGGCATTACCTCCCCACTTCTGTCATCCTTATTTATCGTCCAACTTTCAGCAGCATAGCAGGGGATTGAAAAGACCATGGTCTGAATAAAATGTACCTCAGTTCTCAAACTAACATCTTTGCTCCTTAGGAATTTGGAAAGGTCCTTCTTGACTACAGACTTTCCCAGTGCAACATGTCTCCTGATCTCCTGACTGCTGGTACCGAGTTTATTGATTATGGATCCAAGTAAGATGAAATCATAGACAGTATCAAGCTTTTCCCCATTTAAATGATGTTACTCATCAGTCTAGTGGTGAGAATTTTTGTTTTCTTGATGTTGAAATGTAATCTATCCCATGAGAAGTAAACTGGGAACTTGAAACCTTGTTCGGAGGCATCTAAGATGTACTCATTGATTTCTCTCTGTCTGAACCAAAGAAGAGTGAATAAAATGAAAGGCATTTGGAAACAATTAGGCTTTAGCACCAGAGAGACCTCATGATCTTCAACTTTCATAACACTAAAACAAATAGATGGTGACCAACCACCATTGTTGACCGTTCTGAAAAGGATTTCCATGGAAGGTCCTGAGTAGAGTGAGAGATAAATGTATAATAAAATATCACATTTAAGTCCTGAGTTACTGGTCTGAGGAGATTGGTGGAACCACCAAGATTAAGACCTCTAGTTAACTTTTGATCCTGGCTCTGAATTCACCCCTGTGACACAACTTGTAGTCAATCAATTGAAGATCTACAAGGTAAACATTAACATTAGAGAAATCCTCAGCCTTTACAACAATCAACCACACAGGATCACAAGGGCAGAATTCGCACAAGGACAAGACTCAGACGGTAGAAAGAGAACGGATAAAAGGGTGCAAGGAAACAAAGAGAGATGGTGGGACGATATGGGGATTGTAACGAAGTCCATAAAACAAAATATGTATGAATGGTTGAACGGAATACCTGTAAACTGCCTTGTAAACTTCTACTCGTTTCTTAAAACAGTAATTTTAAGAACTAAATTGATTGCATCTGAAAGTATTTATTCTTCACAAGTCTGGCAACACTAGGCAACATTTAAGGAAATTGAAGCCAGCCATCAAGTCTTTCTCAGGATGACAGGTTGGCTTCAAAATTAGCAAATTTCTTCTTAAAAAAAAATACTTCTAAATAAATCTAAATTTGGAGAGGAAAGTTGTAACGGAAGTGTTAAAAGACAAAGTCACTTTTAACACTCTATTGATAGTTTCCCAAAGGAAGTACTTTTAAAGGATTACACTTTCCCTCTGCTTCTGTCCAGTGTCCATTTAGTAAACAGTTAATAATAAGCCGAAAGATACTCAAATTTCCAGGAAAAAAAAAAATCATCTGTAATCCTAACTCACATTGCTTTCTGCCCCATTTCTCTGTGGAGGTGTAACCAACCATAGAGGCTAGAAGAGCTTCGTGGTGCTTTTTTTAAATTCTTGGATTTTGGACCCAACCATTTGCCTTTTGACATGTAAGCAATTTCCAAGCTCCCCCTTCTCTTGATTAAAAACTATTAAGTCCCTCTGATGAGAAGAACCCTTCAAGGCTCTCCAGACTTCATTTAACCTCCTTTGGTTCCTGAAGGGGTGACGCCTGCCTGGACTGCTCAACAGGCCGGTCCCAGACCCAGAGTGCTCCCCGGGGGTGGGGGGGGGGGGGGGGGGTGGCGGCTCTTCCAGATGCCTAGGAGAGGGTGAGCGCATAGCGCCCACGTTTCCACACCCACCTCCTGCCCAGTCCCCTCCCCTTTCCAAAACACAGACCCTCGGAATGCTCCCATTGTTAGCAGCGTCTATCACTCTGTGGACCGGGTGACATGAATGGATGGGCTGGACACACCTTCTAGCCTCTCAGAGAGAGAAAAAAAAAATCCAGTTTAGATCTGCCTAGAAAGCAAGAGACTCCCTAGGCGTCTCCAGAGACACCACGCAAACCAGAGAAACGCACAGCTTCCCTTCCTACCATCATCACTCCTCCTAGGCTAAAGAAAAAAAAAAAAGATATATACATATATAAATCCCAAGCCTCCTGGCACCTTCTGGCCCTCGCCTCCCCTCTGGGTTCAGCGCGCCCTCAGCCCTGCGGAAGGCGTCGGCCGGAGTCAGCGCACCGCCCTGGTGCGGGGAGCGCGAGCGAGAGGGGGACGCGCACTATGCTCCCCAGCGCCGTGGCCGCCCACGCTGGAGCCTACTGGGACGTGGTGTCTTCCTCTGCTCTCCTGAACCTGCCCGCAGCGCCGGGCTTTGGCAACCTGGGCAAAAGTTTCCTGATCGAGAACTTGCTGCGGGCCGGGGGCGCCCCGCCGCCGGGATTGCAGCCGCTCCTGCCCCACAGCCCAGCGGTTGCCGTGGCCGCCGCGCAGGTCCGGACCCTGCCTGCCAGTCCTGTTCCCCTCAAGCTGTGCCCTGCGGTGGAGCAAGTGAACCCCGCCGGGGCGCCCTACGGCTCGCGGTGGGCTTTTCAAGTCCTTGGCCCCTCAGCGGAAGGCGCCAGGCTGTCGGGCCGGGCTCCCGCAGACCGAGACTGTACCTTTCATCCTTCAGCCCCAGGTGAGCCAGCTCCCTGCCTGATCTGAGCACCTGGCATCCATCCTTTAGTAGGGCGGCTCCTAGGGCTGGGCGCCTATGCACAGGCTCTTCAGCGGGCTCCTAGGGCATCTGGACCTAGGGCATCTAGTGCAGGTGCTACTTCGGGACTGAAGAGGGTCCACTAGTTCTTGTGATTCTTCCTCCCCTGTCCCGTACCTGTCTGCCTCCCTGTTTAAAATATTGCCTCCAACAAACATACGCCTACCTTGCCTTTCTGATCTTTATAGGGACCTTCTGGTGCCATCCTGTTGTTTCGGCCTGAAAGGGCAGCCTCAGACTTGAGCTCTCTGGGTTGTTTGGGCCAATTTCATGTATTTCCCAAACTCAGCGTTGCCCAGTAGGACAGCTCTTCTCTCCAAGGCCGCGCCCGAACCAGCTCCCTCGAAAGTTCTTGGGAAGAACTTAAGCGTAGCCCACGTTGGGGGCCTCTCAAAAACTGTTGCCAGTGTCTGGGCCATTCAAGAACGCGCACAAAGATCTTCCAAAAGAGAGTTGCGCAAAGTTTTTATTCCCCCCCCCCCCCATGGCTTATATTTTGGAGACCTTAAGGTGCAAAGAAATCACGACACACTTTTTCTAACTATTCAGCTGAAACGATTGAATTGGCAGCAGAATAGGTGGTACACCGAGGGGATTTTAAATAAATGGGGACAGAAAAGGACAGTTTGAGTTTGTTATAATTATATATTTGTAACCTGACCAGAAGGACGGAGAAGAAAAACACAGACAATCTAGTTTATCCAAAGTTTATGGAAAGCTTGCCGCAGTTGGCAATGAAAAAAAGGTTGATGCAGTTGGGCTGTTGATCTCAGGGACTGAGATCCACTCTGGTTATCCTTCTTCTTATTATTATTATTAATTTTCTTTCTGTGTCCTCAGACGATTTTAATTCATTCTCTTTGTCCCAATGGGTTAAGTTGTCTAAAACACTTTTTTAGCAGATTGTCTCAGCAAACTGCTGGATCAAATTTATTGCTAATGAGTTTAAAAGAAGTTAACATGTTTAGAACCTGCCCTGCTCTTTTATTTTTGAATAGTTGCTAACAGCATGGAACAAACAGAATTTAATTACAAGAACAGCGACCTCATCCAAATAGTGTTAAGTCTAAATTCAAGAAAGCCTTTTGTACACTGACAGAAAGAATATAGGATCAAGGGAAATTTTTCGTGTCTTGGAAATTTGGACTTAGGTCTTTTGGAAGTATTAGGAATACTGCTGTTCTTTTGTGCCCTTATAAACTATATAAAACATGGTCAAGTAGAAAAGAGTTAGTAAATAATTAATGCCTTTCAAAAATAACATTTTAAAGAGCATTTGTCAATTTGCCTAACCTTTGGTGAGCATTATGCTCATTGAAGTTATTTTTTAATAATTTTTAAGTGGTTCCTGATTATGATTGACTATTCATTATTGGAAAGTTACTGGACTTTTATCTTTGTAGATGTTACAGATTATATTAAAGTAAATGAAACACAAATAAAGTGCCACTGTTTCTCAACCTTTAAAAAGAATTCATATGCCTGATAATCTAATCCAAAAGATTGCAATTAATGGGTAAAGGACTTTCTAACTACAGTGTTTTTGTTCTCAAGGACATACTGATTCTTGTACACTTAAAGTGTCCAAATTAAAGGTGATTTCTTGAAAATTAAGCTGATTTAAAATATGTTACCCTTTGATATATTTTAAGCATCTATTTTGCTAAATATTTAGTCAATCTTCATTAAAGAATTAATATTCTTATAGTTTCCAATTTTTATTTGAACAATATTTTTACTTTTAGTAAAATTGTGTTTAGAGTTGCATGTAATATTTGAGACTAGAAAAATATCTACAGAATACTCAAATAATATAAATTTGTACCCACAAATATTCTGCTTACAAATATCATTTACACTAATTTATTTTTGTAGTTTAACTGAGAATGATAGTTCTGAATCATCAAATGTGGGAATTCTTTCATAATGTTGTATAATTATGAAGTTATAATGAGTGCCAACAACTTTATGTATCACCTGGAAATTACACGAGGATGAAATAGTGATTAATGATCTGAAGTGATTATGAAAAAAAAAGGTTACAACAGTAAGTAAACCGGTGTAAGATAAAAATTTTATTTAGGAAAAAAATGTTACTGTTGTCAGAGAGATCCCACTAAGCCTCTCTGAATGATCAATGAACATACATCTTTCAGATATTAACTTGGCTGGAATTCACAAATTGTGATTTTTCATTATTTCATCATGGTCGACTACCAATTATTCTTTAACCTTAAATTGTTAAGTGTATCCATTTAACTGTTGAATAAGATAGATAAGAAAACCCCAGACCAATAAATGAGTTGCTTTTTAATGTATTGGTAAAATACAGAGACGTTTAATACAAGGATTCATACTACAGTATGTATTTGTACACAGGGAGGTCTGGTGGCCTAGGGATAAGAAGCTGTGTTGTAATCTCAAAGGCACACAGTTCAAATCCACCAGTTGCTCTGTAGGAAAAGAATGGGCAGTCTCCTCCCACGTGGTTTACTGCCTCTGAAAACTCACTAGTTTTATATATTTATACATTTAATACACATGTATATATTTTATGCTGAGATTTCTGCTACTGTATGCATTTGTTCCACTATTTTTTCAGTACCCATTATTAAGATACCAAAGAGCCCTAGTGATGTAAGTTATAACATACCTAGCTGCTAATTAGAGGGCTGGTGGTTTGAATTCATCAGCTGCTTTGGGGCAGTCAGCCTCAGAAACCTGATGGAGGTACCTTATGTTTGGACTCATTCAATGGAAGCTTAAAAAAAAGTTAGTTGGTTATATATTTCACTCATTTTTACTTACTGTATTTCATATATCAAGTTCTGTTTTAGATCCTTGGGCTAATTAGTGAAGAAAACAGATTATTGCCACCACCCTTGTGAAATTTACAGTCCAAGTTCTGTATTACTTTATAGTTGACCAGGTATTTTCATGATTATAAACTCCTTTGCTCTGCATAACAGACCAAAGATAAAGCTATTGATATACCAATTTATTTTTTTCAACAATGATTGTTTTCACTTGATCGTTTTGTTATTCAGAAATGTCAGTTTAAATGTCTGTGCTTAGGTGAAGGAGAGAAACAAGCCAATATCCTACAACTTCAGGCTCCTGCCTTGGTCTTTCATTGAATATGAGCAACTGATAAGGAATAACAGGATAACTAATGACATTATCACAACAGTGAATCAGATGTGGTTTTGTATTTGAGCCCATAAGGAAATAAATTAGCTTTCCCCTTCATTTTGTTACAAGACATGTCTGAAAGGTGATGATAGTTAAACCACAACACAGATTAACAGGTCACAGATGAAAGTGTAGTAGTTAGTGTTTGGTGACTGAAAGTTAACAGTCTTCGGATGTTTATGGCAAAGAGAGAATTCCGTACTTACATGATCTCAAATTGTTTCTATAGAGTAGTTTTAAAACTGCTAAAATCCAAAGGCGTCTTTAACACTTGAAAGGAAAGACATTTAACACAATAACGGATAGTAAATCAGTGTTCCTCAAGGGGTGGCATCTGGGAAAATGTTTTGGATCTGTTTGAGCTTATTAGTGGGAATCAGGAGATTTTCTGAGTAAATCCTAACACTAAAGATTCCCTCCAACAAGTTCTTTAAAGTCATTATTACAAGAATGCTTAGCTACAACATTGATATGTTTTTATACATAACAGAGATCTATAATTTTTGCCAAATACTGACTGAATAAAAGTAAAAGCTGTATAAATGTAATTTTCTCTTGCTTATGCTGTCAAATTTCCTCAAAATAATTGGAACAAATAGTGTTGCTTTTGAATGACCCTTGCTACTCTAAACATTTAAGAAAATGTTTTCCATAAAAGTAATTCCTTTATGTAATTTTATTTAATGCTTATTAAGTGTCCTCAGCATGCTAAAAATATTAGGCTTTTAGGATAAAATAAAAATTTGGAAAGCAAATTTGCATGCTAGATGGACAAACTAATTCATTAATTTAAAATAAATTATGTAAAAGTTAATTTTAAAAGTCTTTTTTTTTTCAGTACATTATACTGTGTAGTTTAGAAATGGCTCCAGATACATAAATATTTTTCTTCTGGTCTCCATCTATATTGTATCTTACCATTAACACTTAGCATTCATTCTCGTTTTCTTATCTATCTTATTTTCAGTCCCAGTTACTATGTACCTAATAATTCTTCACTCAGTCTTAAACTGCTTACATGTGTTCCAAATAGTATTCTCCTTCATTGAAATAAACTGAAAATTTGAAATAAAACAGCTTCTCTTGCACTCCAGTCGTGAAAGAGAGTGAGATGAGTGCGTGCTCCAAGTAGGGATCCTAGTTTGGCTGGGAACTTTGTGATATGATTAATTAAACCAGAAGCTTGTCATTTTTGTGACTAATGCCATACTCTCAACTTATTTTGACAAATTAGGATCACAGAATCATGAACATTGGTGCTGATCCAGAACCAAGATGATAAAAATGGCATATTCCACTGTACCATCATGGGCTAACTTGAGCTCTGCCTGTCACTCTAAAACATCTTTTTGTGGAACTTGTATATAATACCAGAACCATATTGATGATCTGTATATTCTTTGTAATCTGTTGAGCATATATTTGATTTGAAATTAATTTACTGATAACTTTTACATAGTTCAAGAGTAATAAGTTCTGAATAGATTATTACATGGTCACTAAGTTAACAAAAAGGGAGCTAGGGTGGTGGTGTAGCCTATAGAGAGCTGCACTGCTACCTGGAAGCCCACACTTCTCTGGTGGTTTGAATCTACGGGCCACTCTGAAAGAGAAGGAAGGACTATCTCCTTCCTTAAGATTTAAAAACTCTAAAATCACTGTGAAGGGTCAGCTATGAGTTGGTTCCACCTCAGCAGAAAGAACTTTTATTATTTTTAGGGTCAAGGAGA